TGTCAGATCGCCCTGGTGCTGCGGGGCGGGGGGTCCCGCATCCCCGCCCGGGCTCCTTCGCCTCGGGGCGGTGAGCCCGGCTCAGGGCGGCCGGCGGAGGAGGGGAGCCCCGGCCCTGCGTGGCTGGCAGAGGTCGGGGTTGGGAGCTCCGTGGCCGCTCCGTGCTTGACTGCGGGGGCGGGAGGGGCGCGCCGGCGGCCCGGGAGCCTGTGCCTGCGCTCGGCCGGGAGCTCCCGGCTTCTCGCCTCCCTTTGCTGGACAGCGAGCTCGCAGCATGGAAGTCAGTTGGAGGAGCTGGTGTGCTTCTTGGACGTCCCTGGAGATGAAACTGGGCTGAAATTCTTGCCCTGTGTTTGGCCACGTCCTGTTTAAACCCTTTTTTTTTTTTTTGTGGAAACCAAACTTAAATCTTTCTTATTTACTGAGTTTGGAAATCAGTGGCCAGATGTGCTCCAGGCAGTTATCGGTCGCGTGTTGCAGACCTGTGGCTAGGACAGGGCCAGGGAGCCAGATCCCTGCTTCTGCCATTAGCTTACTGTATGACCTTGAATAAACAGCACGCATTTATATGCATGCCAGAGTTATAGTGGATCTGTGTTTTTTCATATGTTTCTAGAATTATGTCCTTAAGTTCACACTGAGGTACCCAAATAAGTGGCTAGGCTTTCAAAGATACAGCTTCTTACTGATGCAAATAGCAGCAAGGAGCTTCTGTTTTGTTAGTTTGTAAAGTGTGCTTAAGTTCCTCACAGGAAAAGAATGCAGAGTAATTACCAAGTGTTATTAGTGAAATCACCTAATTATACTAAGAATGTAGTACTACTAAAAAAGCTTTCCTGAGAACTGAATGCCTCATATATATTTCTAGTACAGTTCATGCAGTTATTTTATAGTGCAGGTTGGCTCTGTCTGTACTGCCTAGAAAGATCCTCTATGACTATGGTACTGTGCAGGAAGAGTTAACTCATTAAGCTTGTATTTGGTTAGTTTTACAAGACTCAGTTTATATAAAAATGTATTTGTGCATTTGAATACACAGTTGAATTCCTCTTCAGAAGATATGCCTAACTTACCTTACTTTCTCTGGCAATGGTGTGTTCTGAACTGGCTCTGTACAGTGGTTTCAGTACGGGTGTAACAGGTGCTTTGATTTGGCAACTAAGTTCACAATGTGTCCAACTGAAAATTCCAAAGATACAGTTCTCTTAAATGTAGCAACATATAGTACATAGCACACATGAGAGATTATGAGCATCTTTATATTTTTGTTGGAATTGTAACAAACAGAAGGGAGAAATTTGTTTTACAAATCAGTAAAACTTGCCAGTTACACTGTTAGTACTGGTTTGTATACATGTGTTTTATATTAATTAGTCTGAAACCACGAGTTAGTCTAGACCATGTAATACTTGTTAGATGATAACAGCAGACCGTCAGGTTCAGACTCTGAAAGGAAGAGGTCTTCTTGTAAGCCTGTTCCAAAACACAGCCTTTTTAATCCCTAATGGTTTACATTTTAGGTTTAAGGTTGGTTTGGTCCAAATATCCAGGGTGCAAGCATAAATTTTTAATAGCCAAGAATTTTCAGAATATGTTCACATGTTATTTTATGCAGCATGACCTAAAAGACTTATATAGGAGGAAGAAGATAAGTTAATTATCACAAAGTGCTGTGCTGTTTTCTGCATCCTAGCCAGCCGATATTGTTTAAGCTGTTATTTCTAAGACTATAAACAGAATTGGAAAGGCAAATGGTTGACCTAGATTCAAGCAAAATAAACCAAATCTCTACACTTCAACCTATGGATTTTCATAAAAAACAACTCTAGAACACTTGGAAGTATATCAGAAGCTTATAAATACTGAGCATCTTTACCAACCAGCAGTCCATAATCTTCTATTTTCAGTCATGTAACATTAATGAAATGAGGTTCTGTGTCTCAAAGCCAACATGTTTTGTCACCCATTTCAAATTAAAGCTGACTTGGTCAGATGCAAAATATGCTGTACCGTTTTCAGTAATTATCTAATAACTCTACTTGCCTATCAGGAAAGTACTTACCTATGAAAATAGGAGAGCTTTTAAAGTTCCTTTGATTCTGTCAGGATGAAACGTAAGATGTAGTTTATGCAGAAGGACACCTGGCAGCGTAAATTATGGTTTTAGTTCATATGAGTGTCTTTTACGAAAACACAACCATATTGCTGTTAAGAAACCTGCATCTTGCTGCTCTCCAGCTAATACCATTGGTGAAAAATTTGCAGCTGTTCTCCCTAAGGAAAACAAAAGTCTTCTCCTCCGCAGGATACCTTTTTCTTTGCTTTTCATAATTTTGTAATAACCACTCTTTAACTTACCGTGATGCAGAGAAGCTTTTATTCCTGGATGTCAGAAGGCCCTTTGTTACTATACCAAAAATAGACTTGGGTAAGTTCAATGTGTTTTGACTAGATCATCAGTTCAGTGATACCATTTTCTGCACAAAACCAATCAGTCTTACAATTTAATCTCTTCTTCTTCCTCCTGTATTCAGAATTATGTACAATTAAATAGACAAGTGTAAATGCAGTGATATCAGCAAAACAACTTCTGTCAACTGATGACGTTTTATGTTCTCAGTAGGAAGAGTGATGCAGGCTCTAACTGATTGCGAGCAATATCTTGGTTGGTAAAACATGCATGCTAGCGAAGATGATATACGGCCAGGATGAAATAGTTTTTTACTTGAATTGAGGGCTGTCAGAAATACACAATCCCGGATAATATTTGAATCTGAACATCTTGTTTTTTAAGAAATGTCTTGAAAACAAATAAAACAGTAATAGTCTTGCAAGGCTTTCAAAGGAGCAGGAAGTTGACAAGTGAAGGGTTTTAGAGAGAGGGGAACCCTGAGAAAAGTTACCAACTCTTAATTTTAAATGGTTACATTAAAGATTCTCAAAGCCAAGCAATCCAACTGGGAGATCAAAACTCTGAAGTTTGCAAGTAAACCGAGTCATTTATTTGATTGAATACAGTTGAATACGGAAGCAGAGATGATATTCTTCTTGGATTAAGAAAACTGTGACTTTAGAAGGGTTGTTGGTTTGGATTTTTTTTCAAGTTTTGTGGGCAACAGCTCATTTGTATCAAGGACATCATGCTCTTGCACTTTCAAAGTAGTCAAACTAGGTTGTGGAGTCTTTGTCCATTGATGGTAGAGCTCTTACCCGTGGTAGTTTAAGACTGAAGCACAATCATCCTATCAAGAGTACTATAAAAATAGTTAATTCCTAAATACCTTTCTGTGTGCTTTCTTTGTTTCTATTTATTAAGTTGTATTAATGCATTTCCAGTTTGTTTTGAATTTTTGTTTGTTTGCTTAAGTGTTCTGTATTAATGTTAAAACCTGCTAATTCTTTTGTGTAAGACAGAGCAGGATTTGATTCCCTTCTGGATGAAATGCAGAAGTGTGAAATGGATCCTAAGGTTTTACAATAAAAGAATTATGAGAGAATTGCTGTCATCCGTATTTAGTGTGTTTAAACAACAGATAAAAAGCCTTTACCATGGTCAGCTGGAAAATGTTTTAAAAATACTTCCCATGTTAAGATGCAGTGCAACGATTGAGTGTAGCAAAACCAAATTATCTAATCTCTGTTTTTAATGCTTTTGCAGCCAGAGTTGGGAAGACATCACTAATTATGTCTCTTGTCAGTGAAGAATTTCCAGAAGAGGTAGAGCATCCTTATTTGTTTTCTATATTTTATTTCTATCCTGTTATATATTTTTTTTCAAAGCATAAGTTAATAGGCTCTGCTTTAAAATAATGTTTCCTATTTAGAAAAAAAAAAAAAAAGTCTAAAATTGCAATGATGACTTCTGGAAGCGTGATGTAGGTTAGTTTAAATATACCTCTGCATGAAGATTAGGAATTTAAATTTTATCTAAGTTCCTTTCTTGTTTTTCACGTGGTTAATTAAACTAATTTTTTTGATATCTGAGGAATGTTAGGGTTCTTTTAAGCAGCTGAAACTGGTCATAACTGGCTGCATATTTCAACATTAGAGACTCATAAATGGGAAGGTGCTGAAAGAGGCAAGACCCTCATTTTTTTTGAGTGTTGTATTTAAAGAGCAAGTAGATTGAAAAATGAATAAGAATGAGGAATTAAAAAGTCACGTTGTGTAACTTATACTTAGCCATTTTTTGTGACTAAGCGAGACATTCCTTTATTTCTATTTTTGAAGAATGTTTTCCTGACTCTTTTGAAGTAAAAAATGCCGAAAACTCTTCCTGCTTTCTTCCAGAATAAAAGTAAAGCTACTTCTACATTTTATTCCTTTAAAAAAACAGCACATAGTTCTCTTTATGCCATAAAAAGAACTGCTGCTGCTGCAAATAGTTAAGCTTTTTACATCTAAACATGAATGTTTATTTCTTCTGATCACAAGTCTTAAAATAGACGTCATGTGCTGCTCTTTGAATCTACACTGTGCAGTGTTTAATGCAAATCAGTAGGTTCCCACAGTTCATGAGTCAAGATTAGATTGTTAACATAATGGAATTTAGTTCCCAGCCTTGCAGGTGAAAAGGAGCTCCCGTTTCTGTTTGTTCTTAAACTGCTCAGGGACCCATTCCTTTGACAGGTTGGTTGTTGATGTATTTAGTGAATTATAAGCCTCTATTCACTTCTAAGCTTCTTCCTGCTGTATAATCTAGAATATTTCTCTAAACTCATGTTGAGAGAAAAAGCATCATTTTTATATAACACAAAATCTTCCTAAAATTACATAAATAACTTAAAAAAAAAGAATTACTGCATCCTATATAAACTGCTGAAAGACACATGTTCCTGCAGGTCAGTCATGCAGATTGGAGCTGTATGGGTGTGTGTAACAGACCTTTCAGACTTTGAAATAGCGTTTAATATACTGGGTATTATCAGTAATCATTCTCGATGAAGATGTAAGCAGAGCCTGAAGCTCTACAAAGAACCATTCTTCCGGTGATTGGCTTTTCTTTTTTCCTTTTTTTATTAAAAGAAAACAAAAGTATCATGAAAGTTCATGGTAAAAGGCAATAAACAGCTGTGCAGGAAGTTTTCATTAAAGTTAGGTTTAAGTTGATTCTTCCTGAATATGGATTAGTGTTCTCTGGAAAATATGGCCAACAATCATAGCTAGTTTACAGTATTTTGCAGAACACGCTTTTTATTACTATCATGTTTTGCTTTGCAGGCTTTTCTGAACTTAATGTTTAGCACTCTGTCAGAAGCAAGGAACTTGTCAGGTTATGATTATGTAAAAATTGAGACTTGTATTTTGTCTGTCATGCTTGTTTGCTCTATCTTGAATATTTTTTTCTTTTTAACAACTCATGCAGTGTTTGCAGGGGTAGTTCTTGTACTGATTTCAGTGGGAGTAGGATCAGGATATCTTGTGCAAAAATTAAAACATTTAAACATAGATTAAACAGTATTTAATTTGTCAATAATGGCATGCTAACTCTGATGTTACTCTCCTGCTAAAGAATGTGTAGCCCTTTGTAGTAATTGGTTGAATTTGATAACCCCCAAATTTTAGAACTTTTATTTATATGACATTTTTGTTTAAAGTAAATTGCAGTTCAGGTTTTGTTTATAGTTTTCACTATTATGATAGTTCTCTATAGGTGGTTGGGTATAGTGGATTTGAGTTTTATAGAAGCATTCATTGAATCCCTTAACAACATTGCTTTCTTGCAAAGCATGCAGGAAGTTCCTTATTCAGTAATTAGACTAACAAAGAATGAGAAAGTAGTAGTGACTTTCAGTACATTGCAAAAAAAAACCCCCAAAGTACTTGAACTACTAAGAAGTTGTTCTATTTAAAGCTGACTAATTGGCGGGTGTATTATAGTACATGAATTTTTTTGGCCATCTGGATTTTCTGGATTATCTTTAAAGGCTTTTTCTTGCTGTTTCTTTACAACAAGGTTCCACCACGAGCTGAAGAAATCACCATTCCAGCTGATGTCACCCCTGAAAGAGTGCCAACCCACATAGTGGATTATTCAGGTAAGGACTACACAATACTGTTACTGTTTGACTGATTTGGTGTGGAATTGTTTATCTAAATCAATAGCCTCTTTAAAAGTCATACTGGTATGGGACCAAAGCTACATGTAGGAAAAGACTATATTAAGTAGAAACTCATGGGATAAAACTAAATCAGATGATGCTGGCTGGTCCTACTAATTCAAAGCCTAACGTTAACTGCTGTTGGTACTTCCATGAAAGACAGTCGTAGCAGTATTCCAGTGAAGTTAATATTCTTTCTGTGACGGACGTATTTACAGGTTCAGACAAAGGTGGGTACTTTCATGGAATTCAAAACTATTTTTCTTTCTTTCAGTGAAGAATCTACTAAGATGCAGGAGACTTTACATAGCTTATATTCTATGTCTTTCTAAATTTCTAAGTTTGGACACCTTATCCTTTTGTGTCAGTTTCATATTTTATATTTTTGTTTTTGATAAATTCTGATCTCCTTGACCTTGCTGAATGGATCAATAGGCTCAGTATCAAGGTTCATATGCTATCATAAATATATGCAACTATTGCACAGCTAGAAAAATCCTTCTGCCATTTATAATAGAAGCCAAGAATTAGGCCATGTTAGCAAATACCTTCCTGTCTTCTCTCTCCCACCACTGCTGAGGAAATATCTTTGGTGTGTTTACCTATTTGGAACAAAGAAATAATGTGTATTTTTTTATTGGACTTGAGCTTAAATTTATGCGGAGTGAGTTTTTCTTTCTGTTGGATGAAGTGTTTCATAGATTTGGTTAACAGAAGCTTGGTCTCACTAAAAAAAATCGACACTGCAATAAAACTAACATATGCCATCTCCTGTTGTAAAAGTTTACATTATAGAACAATGTTGCTACTTATTATCCCAAGAAGGGGCTGTTGATAAATGTAGGGGGATGCAAACTATGACTCATTCCAGAGAGAACCTGTCTACAAATGTAATTATTCCTCTTTAAAATAGCTGCTAAAAAACTTGTGTGCAACAGCCTGTTTCTGTCTTGCAAGTTAATAGATCAGTTTCATTATTGTTACAGTAGAAGCGCTCTTTAGTGCATTTTCTTAAAAAATGTTTAAATAACAAGAGCTTTCGCAAGGCTGTCTTATGAGCATTATGAAATACCCTAGTTCAGTTACTTACGTTTTTCAGTTTTGTTCACAAAAATGTTTAGTATTAATGAATGGCTTATTCTATTGAATGCAGAAGCAGAGCAAAGTGATGAGCAGCTTTACCATGAAATATCACAGGTAAGTATATTTTAGTGTTTACTAGAAAATAGTTTCTGCTTTTGGAGAATCTTTCCTTTTAAGTTCTCTGCATTAGATGGGCTTCAGTTTGAATTGGAAAAAAACCAAAACAACTAGCCTCTCTTGCTTTTTCTTGCTTGGCATTTCATTTTGTTTTTTTTTGTGCCCTGTGCTATAGTAAACATTCCTCTATTTAAGAAAAGTAGGTACTGCCACTGTGTTGGTGAATTGAGCTTAAGCTTTGTGCTTCCAAGGGAAAGGACAGAACCTAAATATCTTTTAATCAGTAGGCCAAGGGACTGACAGTTTTTGTAAAGAAATAATCCTGCCCTGGAAAGATCAGTTTTGGTTCTTCCTGTCATGTTGTGCTATTGCATTTATGAATAGCAGGGGATTGTTGGTAATTTTATAATTCCTTCTGTTTCCTATTTTCAGTTCTTTCTGAGCACCTTTGCACATTTTCTGTACGGTCTGTCACAGTGTTGTGTTCCATTTCTGGCATTTAGTTCGGTACTTGAGTGGAGGCTGCAAATTATGATTCTTCCGTTTAGATTTCTTGGTAGCATAGGTCTCTCTGCAGGCAAAGCTGTGAATGTCACACTGCAAGACATGCTTCTCAACATATAAATTATTTGGTTTAAGCTGTTGTCAGGCTACAAGTAGCTTAAACAAGTCAGGGACAGCTTTTGACTAATGTTCTTACTCTGACGTTGTTACATGTAGTTCTTAATTGTCTCTGTTGCTCTAGGGACTCTAAACAGTGGAATTCCATGCCTTTCCTTTCTTTTCATTTTAGGCAAATGTGATTTGTATAGTATATGCTGTTAACAACAAGAATTCTATTGATAAGGTATGGTAACACATTTTATCCAGTTATTGTTTGAGATGTAACTTGTGCACTGTTAATTGTTGGCAAGCTGAAAATTGAATTAGACATTTAAAATGCATAAGATGGTGTTTGAGATCAAGTGGTTAAGAGAACGTACAGATGTATTATTGCTTCTGGTCCACTTCAACATCTGAGTTTTCAGTCATTTCAGTCATCTGAGAAAGTTGCTCATTAATCAACTCCAGTGTTTATTTGTTTCCTCCTTTGAGGGTAAATATGTGTCTTCTTGGGAAAGAAGCAGTAGCAGTTGTAGTTGAACTTGTTAACAGTTCAGTCATATTAAATTTGAAAATGTATTTTTCATGTTTGTTTTTAACCCCGCTTTAGGTAACAAGTCGATGGATTCCTCTCATCAATGAAAGGACAGACAAAGATAGCAGGTGCATAAGTAAAGATGAGAAGTGTGAATTAGGCTGCACATCGATGGGTGTCAATGGACAGTGTTGAGGATGTTAATTGTTTAAGAAAATCAAATTCTAAACTTAAAGTTTATATAAGAAGTCCAAGCAACAAGACATTTAAAGTATGTAGGTCTGTTACATATGCCAGCAATTATTTTGAATTTCATGGGCAGCTTTTACCAGGTGTGTTTATATTTGTTATGGTATAACTAGTTTTGGCTACATGGTCTGTATACATTTTCTACTGGTGCTGGTTTTGTATAATAATAATATGATCAGTTACTTTTGTGTTTAACTGTGTGTTGTTTTGTAGTATCAACAAGAAATCCATTTCTGTCTAAGTGTATATCAAAACAATTTACTTAAAACTGCTCTCATTTAGTTTTGCCTATTGGCTGCCAGTGATATTTAATTATGTCATGAAAATAATAGAATGGCTTCTGGTGGGAGGTAGGATGCCAAATTAAGACAGATCTTTTTATCCCTCTGTCTTTAAAGCTCTTAACCTTTTTTTGTTTTCAGGCTGCCTCTTATATTAGTTGGAAACAAGTCTGATCTAGTGGAATATAGCAGTATGGAAACTATCCTTCCCATTATGAATCAATATACAGAGATAGAAACATGTGTAGAGGTATGCAAGACTTTCTGAAGTTAGAATGAGTAACAAAAAATACATTCTTGCCAAGCATGTATGGCAACTTTTTGATAGAAAAGGTGATTTTTTTTCATTCAAAGTAAAATATTCAAATATAAGTCATTATCATGGTGAGTTTATATGTTATTTTTCTTTAGAGAAGGTTACGCTATTGTATAATCAAATGTTACTGTCAAATTCTTCTAATATTTAGAGCCTCCTCACATTCTTGCCTTTAGCACATGTTTACAATTTAATATTAAGCCAGACAGGTGTCTGCAAGTATTAAAAATGGAATTTATATGTGTGGCTATGCCTTTTTTTTTTTTTTGTCCTTTTTTTTTTTTTCCAAAGTAGATACAACTTTTTGGTTTATCTGTTATTGGTATGACAGCAAATTGTAGTGAGACTTCCTTTATTAATTACTGAACAGTTACAGGGGCTGGCTGTCTTTTTTTCCAAAACAGCACTGTACCCACAAGAGGGGGCTAGATCTTTAAAAGTTTGATGCTTGCTTAAATTTCAGAAGAAACCACCCAGTAGTCAAGAGACTAGCTAATCAATATAAGGATTTCTCTTTCAGTGTTCAGCCAAAAACTTGAAGAATATATCTGAGCTATTTTATTATGCACAGAAAGCTGTTCTACATCCTACAGGTCCTCTTTATTGCCCAGAGGAGAAAGAGGTATTTATACATAGATTCTAAGAACAAATGGGGGGGAGGGGGGAGTTAATCGCTTTCCTGCTATTTTCTTTTCAGTGGATTTTGCATTTCTTAGTGTGTTGTGTTACCACCACCTCACCTCCAAATGTCAAGCGTTATATTCCAGGACCATGGTGATTGTTTTGTGTTGCATTAATCCGATCTGTCTGTCATCTTCATTCAAAGCAATGAAGACAGTTTTTTGTTGTTCATGTGAATTGCTAAGTAAAATGAGAAGCTTTGGTAGTGACTTTAAACCCAATGTAATGTGAACAAAATCATGTGTTCAATTCCGTTCTCCTTTAGATATACATTTCACAGTAACTCTATTTATTTCAGGGAAACTACTCCAGACTTGGCCTGATTTAAGGGAAAGAACTTTTCTGAGCATCTTGTGAGACTTTGGCAAAAGGGATAAGAAACAAGTGATGTGGCTGGTTTTTTAAGTATCACAGGTAGTTAGCTCAGAGCATTATGGAGGAATATGGGTTTTTTGAAAAACATTAATTTCGTGGGCAAATACAAATAAAATCGCTAAACATAACCCCCATGTAGTATTGGTCAGTAGGAAGGTTGCTTCAATCATAAATACTTTGTTAAGTAGAGAACCAGAGAATAATCCTGTTTTGATTTCTTCCATCAGAATCATCTTTGTGAGTTAGTAATGTTGTGATAAAATTGTTGTGCTGAAATCTTTTTGGTTTTCCAAAACCAATCTCTATGCAATCTGTGTGATCCCTGTGAAGAGAAGAGTCCGTCATCACTGTAGTTGTTGGGAGAGAATTACCACTGTCTGTTTTCCTTCACTCGGAAGGTATCCCAGCAATTCTTTTGTCATAGAGATAGTCCATATGATCAATGCTTTGCCTGGTAGATGAATGAGCCCTGTGAAGATTTTCAGTATTTGATGTTTGAAGCCTTCTGAAGCCATAGTTGAAATAGTGAATAGAGGTAGCATGCTTGTTTAGAAAGAGTTGACTGTAGTTCTAGAGCCATTTATTTTTGCAAGGCACTGGGATTGCAAGGTCTTTTTTTTTCCCCACCAAAAAATGTTTGGGAAAAAAAAAATCATTCAGTTGGGTTTTTTTTTAAAGCTTTCTGTAGTAATAAGATGGAATTTAGAGAACTGATTTTTTTTTTTTTTTAAATAACTAAGTGGTGCCACCTTCAGCTTGTGAAGAGCTTGAGGCTATTCTACTAGTTGAATAGAAAGACATTTAATGTGGAATAATTGCTTTAAATGTATGGATATAAATTTGCTAGATCAGGATTTTGTTTCCTCTTGCTTTTTGTTTTTATGTATGTGTGTATGAATGTGTCTATTCTAAAAATGAAAAATGAAGGCTAGTATTTGTTTTAATGTGGTTGAGCTGCCCGATGTCATTCAGTGTAATCTTTTTATATGCAAGCCTAGAAAGATACTGAACTTTGTTTTATTCCTTAGATGAAACCTGCCTGTATTAAAGCACTCACTCGCATTTTTAGAATTTCTGATCAGGATAATGATGGTACTCTCAATGATGCAGAGCTCAACTTCTTTCAGGTAACTCGTTTGCTTATTTTTTCACCATGCTCAATAGTTGAACTATATAATTCTAGAAGAACAAGTGATTGTTTTTGAAGGAACAGTAGTAAGGTGAATTATAAGGGGATCAAGTCTAAATATTAAAGTCTCAAGTGCAGCGTGAAAGAGTGGATCTGTAAAAACTGTAATGGTATTAATTTTATTTCTAACCATTGTTCAAATTTTAGTCCAAGAGCAAAATTTAAAAAAATCTACTTAAATGAACAAACTCCAATGCTTGTATTTAAAAATAAAATAAAGTTTGTACACCCTTATTTCCACTAAGAAATTGGATTGTCCTTTACTAGCTTATCAGAACATTTAAGGCTGTATTTCATACGGGACATGCTGTTTGCCCAGCTTAGTAGCCAGTGGTCCTAACATGCTCTTTTTGTATTTTTTTGTTAGAGAATTTGTTTTAATACACCACTGGCACCTCAAGCTTTGGAAGACGTAAAGAATGTAGTCAGGAAAAACCTAAGTGACGGAGTCGCAGATAATGGATTGACGTTAAAAGGTAAGCCTTATTTAATACTTAAACGATATGTCTTTTATACAGTTGATAATCATTCTTACATAAAAAGCTAGTCTTATGGAATATGGTCTCTGTCTTGATTCTTTCAGACTACAAGAGCTGGGTGTAGTGGCAGTATAATATCAAAAGATGATTAAACTGAGGAATACCAGGGTGAATAAAATAAGGTCTTTCTTACTTCTCGTTACAGAGCTTGGAATCCGAATAAGTATACTGATTCAAAAGAGATTTTCTCCTAGATAAATCTATATCTTGTCTCTAGGCTCACTGTCTGCAGCACTTGTCAGCAAGGTGTGGTGTCTCTCAGCATTTTAACAGCTATGTTGTACAGATTTGCTCAGAGCATATGGCAAAAGTGAAAGGAGAAAAAACGTTTTCTTTCTGAGCGTCAATGTAACTGCTTTGCTTGTGGAGCTTACATATGTAATAGGACTTGGGAGAAATTGTAAAGAGTGGGAATCTTAAGGCATAGCCTTACTAAACAGTGAAATCTCAGTGTTCATTAAGCCCTGGAAAGCGCTAAACAAAAATCCTACCCAGTTATTTTGATACAGGAGAACTAAAGGCAGTCTTCCATGAGACTACTCTCTAGGCGTCTTGCTAAGGCTTACTATTTTAAATTGTTGAAAATATTGTTGTCTTTATTTTCATACAGCTAAGTTCTTCTAAAATGCTGGTACTGAAAGAAGCAAACAACAACAGAAAACCAAGTGGGTTGTTTTAAGGCAACAGTTCCTTGAAGGACACTTTTACAAATAACATGATTTCTGAATCTTCAGTCTGTGTAGATAATGCTGTAATGTCACCCAGGAGGCTTAAAATCTGAATGTGTATTTCAAGCCTTTTTGTTTTCAGTCTGATACTGATTCTATGAAAAATATTTGTAGCAGATAAAGCACTTCAGGGCCTTAAGATTTTATCATTTGATTTTTAGGTTTTCTTTTTCTGCACACACTTTTCATTCAGCGAGGCAGGCATGAAACAACTTGGACTGTTTTACGTCGCTTTGGATATGATGATGACTTAGAGCTTATACCAGAGTACTTGTTTCCTCCGTATGTATCACTTCTTTTAGCTTTCTTTAACTTACAGGCATTTAATTTATGCTGCCTCCTGCTTTGCCAGGAGGAAAGGGTTATTGTAGTGTGTTTATTTAACACATTGTTACATCAAGTATCTCCCTTACTTTATGACCTACCAGCCAAAATCTTCCTGTGACTGAAAATTATGAAGGAAGAACTCCTGTCTCTTGTGCCAAATCATGTACTGCTCTCTCTCTTTATAAGGAAGATGGCAAAAGAGACTCTTAATACAAAACTGGAACATAAATCTGAGCAGTTGCTTATTGTATCTGGCAACAAATTAGAAAAGGCTTGTCAGTATTTTCATAGCACTTGAGATCCTTTGAAAATCCCCAAATGAAAAAGTGAAGAGATCGACCAACTCTGTGTCTTGTTTTAAAAAATATAACTACATAATGATTTGTTAAAAAAAAACCACGAAAAACAAACAACCAAACCAAACAAGAACCTGATTACTATATAGCTATATATCATGTAATATAAAAATGGTCACTCATAATTTTAGGATTCCTAATAAAAAGTATATGCTTTGATCTCTTTAAAGATAAATTAATAAACCTAAATGCAAAGGTCAAATACCGAATGTTGTAATTCAAAAAGTCTGTGTTTTGAGTTTTAATATTCTGTATTTCATAAACACACTTAACACTTCATGTATTTGTTTTTGTTTTCAATAAACAGGCTAAAAATTCCTCCAGACTGCACAACAGAATTAAATCATCATGCATACTTGTTTCTTCAAAGTATTTTTGATAAACATGATTTGGTAAGCTTTTAATTTGAGAGTGTGTGTGTCCTTATACTTAAGAGCCTTAGTTTGCTAGCAGTTTTGCTAGCAAAAAGTCTGGTTTTGTCATGTCATTTCATTCAGAAACTGGCTGTGGCTTAAGCTTGCAGTCAAAACTAGCCTGCTGTTTATATTTCTGTCTACAAGGAGAGTTGTCAGTTATAGTTGTACTACCAAATTTTTTTTAACTAGCTCATATATTTAGTCTCCTTTCAAAAAAAAGAAAGGAACAATGATTAAAATGAAAGCAGCTCAGTTTCTTATAGCGAGTTTCTTGAATCTTACAAGTGTACAGCAATATCAGTTTAGAATAGACACAAATTAAGTGATTTATGTCTGATATCGTGTGCTTGTTTTCAGGATAGAGATTGTGCTTTGTCTCCCGATGAACTGAAAGATTTGTTCAAAGTCTTCCCTTATATGCCATGGGGACCTGATGTTAACAACACTGTTTGTACAAATGAAAGGGGGTGGATTACATACCAAGGGTTTCTCTCTCAGTGGACGTAAGTGTGATACATTACATTTTAGCAGTTCAGAACTTTGGGTATGATAATACATTTGTAGGTTCTTCTTAAAAATCTAGTAGAAAGAGTGGAAGTTTAATAGTTGAAAATTGACCCAAGCAGTCATGTTTTTATAGCCATCCAGTGGCCTAATCTTCAGATAATTGTTATAACCTGTTCAGGATTTGGCCAGTATTTAGTGCTAACTATGAAGAAATGTCTTCAAATGGTGGAAATCTCTCTGAAACTTGTCAAAATACTTATTTCTGTTGTTCTACTCTTTTTAGAGATGGTACGAATGATGTTCAAGAATGAGTTTTTTCTCCTATCGAAAATATAGAGAATGAGGAAAACATTATTTGCTGAGTTAAAAAAATATGGTGTAGGTTGATAGGCCTCAGCAGGTACTGCCTTTGTAGTGTTTTGCTGACTATTAAGACTGGTAAAGTTGCCACCATTTACCTTCAGAGTGCTTTGTCCTTCAGTACTATGTAGTGCCAGGAATACTTCTATCATCATGTCAATCTGGAGATAGGAGGTAAACATTGTTTCAGTACTGTAAAGAATTGGTATTGCAGGTGCTAACAATTCAGAAACTTGTTTTTGTCCTCTCTGCTAGACTAACCACATACTTAGATGTACAGCGTTGCCTGGAGTACCTGGGTTATTTAGGCTACTCGATACTTGCAGAACAAGAATCTCAAGCATCAGCAATTACAGGTAATTAAAAAAAATAATTGGTGCAACCTAGGGATTTAAATTTAGAAATCTGCTCAAGAGTAAATTGTTTGAACAAATGGTCTTTTTTTTAACTTTTATTCTTTTTTACTTTCTGCTCAAGTCACACCTCTGATTTAATATTTTTGTTTGTTTTGTGTAGATTTTAATGTAAGTGGACAATTATTTCATGTTTTTACATGCCAAAAATATTTGTGTTTTTTCAAAAGTAACAAGAGATAAAAAGATAGACCTCCAGAAAAAACAGACTCAGAGAAATGTTTTCCGATGCAATGTTGTTGGAATGAAAGGCTGTGGGAAAAGTGGAGTTCTTCAGGCTCTTCTTGGAAGAAATCTAATAGTAAGAAACATTTTGCTTATATTCACCTATATATGCTTTTGAGTTAAGGTTAAACAGCAAAACCAATTGATTTTAGAGCTTTGCTGATTATTACTGAGTTTGGAGAGGTCTATGAGGGAATATAGAATTATTGGGGAGGGTTTTGTTGTTTTTTGGTTTTGGGTTTTTTTAGCAGATAGACAAATGACTTGCATGCAATAGTTACTTGTAACATCATGGATTATAGCTGTGCATTTACTTGTAAAATAAACCACAGATTACCGTAATTTTCAGTCATTAATAAATGGAGTAAAACAGCTGTTCCGTTCTAACTTAAAGGGGCAAGCTGCTGTGGACTAACATGAAATTCTGCATTTTCAGAGACAGAGGCAAATACGTGCAGAACACAAATCTTACTATGCCATTAATACAGTCTATGTATATGGACAGGAAAAGTACTTGCTGGTAAGGTTGCCTCATTATTGTTTGCATATGACTGGTTAATCTTAAAATTCAGTGAATTATTCAGAGCCTTCTGCAAACAAGTTTCTGTTTTAATTGTCTGTTCTTCATAAATGTAGATTCCTCACCCCTCCTTTTCTGGCTCAAATAACTTCTGGTTTTACATGTTGCTAATACTTTAAACTGAACCTGTTCAGGACCTGTTATTTGTGAAACTTTGACCTAAATTGTACAGAACCCAGTCCATTATGTTTATGCTGCAGGGCATCAAATTATAACATATGATAAATTATCAGCAAGCAATCTACCTGTTCAGTAAAGAAGAATCTGTCACGTAGGGTGATTAGGATGGCTAAAGTTAATCTTCAGTGGGTGAAATACTTTCTTTAAAGCTCGCTCCACTGTAGTTTTCCTTTATGATAATATGATATCTTTCTTTGTTTTCCAAGATCTAGTCCTCTGCTCTGTGATTTTCCTCTGGAGGATGAATGCCAGTTTCTATGGGAAAATGCCAGTTTCTTTGTGTTAAAGTAAATGTAACTTTTTATGCTGAGGTTGTGATTGCCTGCAGATGTGATGTTAACAGCTCACATATGTTGGCTGTATGGTAAATTCCTACTATTTCTTTTTCATTAATTCTGCCTATTGTCAGTCCATTAGTTCTAAGGATACATAAAAATAAGCCATAAAAATTGAGAAAAAGAAAGTTATAAAATTCCTTTAACTGCATAATGACAAAGCTTTTTTCCTCTCAAACCATCTTTTTTTCCAGCTACATGATGTTAGTGACTCTGAATTTTTAACTGATGCTGAGACCATATGTGATGCTGTCTGCCTGGTATATGATGTCAGTAACCCTAAGTCCTTTGAGTACTGTGCCAGGATTTTTAAGGTTTGTATAGTTTATATATACAAACCTTTACATTTATGTATCTTTTCACTGACAAAATATTCAGTGTCAGTTACTGGTCCTATACACAAGTTCTAGTGTTTAAAAGACATTTTATTTATGAGTGCTGGTTATATATGGCTGATGCATTAAAGTTTTGTTGTTCATACAAAGCTAATGTCTACTTGTCTATATAAAATATTCTGCTTCTAGAAATGCCTGACTTCAGTGCAATGAATATATCTTAATGCTGCTGCAAACAGTTCAGCTCAGGCTGTTCCAGGTTGAATGTATAATGTACTGTTTCTTTCACTTTTTTTCTTTAAATTTGCAGCAGCACTTCATGGATAGCAGAATACCATGCTTAGTGGTAGCAGCAAAGTCTGATTTGCATGAAGTTAGACAGGAATATAGTATTTCTCCTGCTCAATTCTGCAAAAAACACAAAATGCCTCCACCTCAAGCCTTTACTTGTAACACGGTTGATGTTCCGAGTAAGGATATCTTTGTTAAACTGACAACTATGGCAATGTATCCGTAAGTACTTGAACCGCTATATTTTTCATATTGCATGGGTCACGCACAATACCACTGCATGTCATTGTTAGCCACGAGGATGGAACTGCCTCACTGAGATTTAGCAACAGAGAGACGTAAGTGACTTGAGTAGAATCTTCAAATTATTTCAAATTGAGATGGTTGGTATGTATCCAACACATAAATCAGTGTCAGCTATTGTTGCTAGGGTATTTTTTTAAAAATACACTGCTTCATCCAGCTCCTATTGCAAATTCCAATGAATATGTAGGGTTCTGTTCTGTTCTTACTGTGGAGGCATAACTCAATATGTCAGTATTCCTATCTTGGTATTTTTGAGATACTTGTAAGTTGTACAGTTAATTCTTGTTAACAGCTCAACTTGACAGTTGATTACAAGTAATGACACTCTTTAGGGAACAACAGTTCCCCCAGTGCGCTGCTTGAAGCTTTTTTTATTTTCAGGGTATTTACTACTATGTTCATTAATCTAATAGAGCTTATATTTTTTTTAATAGAATTTTGTATAAACTCCTTTTGGGCTTCAGATAGAAGATACTTAAGCTCACATTCTTCAGTACACATCTCACTGTTGCTAAGCTCACTTTGCATCTCTTTTTTTGGTGGGTGGAGCTTTTAATATGGTGTTGAACTACATAAATATTACAGCAGATGGAGTCTAGTATGACAGCTGACATTTGTTTTAAATTAAATAGAACTAATGTCACTTTCACCCAAAATAATAGAATTTTAAAAAAAATATTTGAAACTGAATTTATTAAATTAGATTTGTAAAGCTTTTGTTTTGTTTTTTGTTCTCTTGTATTTATTTTGTAGCGCTGCAATACTGGGAAACCACTAAAGTGTAGCACTGACCAAATATCTTGTCCTATCGATATTCCTGCTTCTCCCTTAGTTTTCAAGCATGTGTGTTTGTTAGGGTGGGAAAGGTAGAGGTAACTGTCACTTTGTAAAGTGTGCATTCAAAGTGGTAGAAAATGTGGCTTACTTTTGTTTGAAAAAGGGGTGTTATCTATTGCTGTGCAGACATACTCAGAAGCCTTTAGATGCTTTCCTTACAAACTTAAATAAATTCAGCAAACATTTTCATTCATGTTTGTGCTTTGCTATTAAGATCTGTGTGTGGTGGTAATGCCAAAATGTCCAAGACGAAGAACATCTGACATTAAAATTCTGCACAGCTGTAGTTCTACCCTTGCTTCCCCAATATATTTTTTTTTTTCTTCTCTCCTTACTCATTCAAATGTACCTTTTATTCCTAAATCTCTCTTGGTTGTGGCACAGTCCTAATGTGCACCTGATTTTATGAGCAAGATTTCAACTCCTGTCCTTCTGTGTGTTTTCGCAGCCATGCCCGGTTACGCTGTATGTGCGCCTGCAACAGGTGTACATTTTGCATCTGTCAGAACTTCCTCAACTCAGACTTGCTGCAATCTGTAAAGAACAAACTCTTCACTGCAGTTCTTAACAGGTCCTTAACTTTATTTACTAGGTACCAGGTGTGCTTTTAAAATAAAGTTTTTTTTGAAAAAGCAATTGGTAACCTTATATACTGCAGATTTTTCACTCCGTATCCACTAAATAGGCAGCTACTTACTTTAATAATTGTCATAAAATTGTCAAACTTTGCTTAACTTGAAGGTACTTCTGGTCTTTCGAGCTTAGTCCAGTGATTTCTTTGAAACATGACCAATTTGGCAGTTGATTCAGGCACTTAGTGATTGCAAAAATATTGTGAAGAAATTAGGACTGTGTTTTTAGGGAACTGGTAGTGGACATTAAGTAGTGTCTATAAATCTGTGTAACGTGTCTCACTTGAGACATTATAGGTTTGTTTGGTATTGATTCGGGGTAGTGCCTCTTAATATCAGTTACACAAATATTTCCATAACGGCACAGCTTGATTATAGCAGCATCGTATAACATATTACATGTTTATATTTTCTAGTTGTTTGATATTTGGGAATTAATAGAATTTCTGTGTGTGTGTATGTTATGCTTGGTTTGCACAATGAGTGGGTATTTTGTGTAAAAAAAAAAAAATCTAGAGCTTTTAACATCCAATTCCTCTCTGAATAAAATGCAACATGTATGAAGTGGTAAATGGTCAAACATTTGCAGACACTTTGGAAAAAGCAATTGGTAAAGAGAGAGAACTGGTTTTCAGCATTGAAAACAGTGCTATACCTTGTCTTGTGTGTACTGCAGGCAGTTTTTGACACACGTGGTTTAATAACACCTCAGCACTTGTCATCGCACCCCAGCAAATGGGAGTTCAAACCGAACAATTTTTGTAGTGCAGTGGTTCCATCCTTTATAGCCGCCTTGGAGGCATGTATGATAAACGCGATTCTTGGAGGCAACTATGATAAATGTGTTTATTTGAAGGCCATGGTTAGAATATCCTGACATGCTGCTGGTCCATGTATGTTACTGCTTCTTACTGTTTTCAGATGTAGCTGCTCCAAATACGAGTGGCTGTCTACTTTAAATGCAAGTAACACGTACATAGGAGGCCTACAGATAAACCCACCTACAGTATTGAGCATCTTTGTGAAACACCACTTTAATCCAAGATAAAAGTGTTAACCACGGAGTGAGAATTCAGAGAAGGGTGAAAAACTCATTAGCTTAGGAAAAAACTGTGAATATGAGTGAGACTGTTCATGCTGCATCTCTTCTACAGCAGTCATCCCTTAGACAAAAATCCCTTGAAACAGCAGTCTCTCTGCGTATCGTTGCCCTAAAACTTCATTCAGCAGTCACTACTAGAAAATCCCTACTCTTCATTATTGAGGCTGAAATCACCTCTGTAATACATCCTCATTTTTTGGAATGGTGATGGGTTGCTACATTAGCTGTTGTGGCTTGTTTCTCTCTTGTATGGGCCTATGGTTTTTTTGAGTCCTGCATTAGACGTTGCACTTTGCTCCTCTGAAATACTGTCAAGGACTCGAGGTATTGAAATCTTTCTATGGGAAGTCTCAGGGCGCTGTCATTCCACACCTTGTCACTAGATAGTGTGGAATAAATGCAGGAATCTACTACTGCCTAAAAAAGTCTGTAATTCAAGGTAACGAGAATTCTTCATAGACTTTTCCACTGGCCCTACAGAAAGGAAAAATTATTTGCTAGAATCTCTTTGTCTATAGTCATTCAGTTAGTCACTAGGGTTTTGTTTCACGTTTCCAGCTTGCTCACTTCATCTCATCAGCTCTCTTCCTAGTTAGCTCTTCAAGAGTGTTTCCTCACAGAACATATTGCCCCAGGTTATTTGCCATTCAGTACCTGGACTACTGTATAACTGCGTATATAGTAGAGCCGAGATATCTGTAAACAAGAGGGAATAGTTCCTAATTGTAGACTTAAGAGGGTAGAGAGGGTTTTCTTGATGAAAAATGTTAGCTCCTTAGATGCGTTTTTAATGATTTGTGATTAGATTAGAGAAAGCATTTGAATCAAGAAGGATTTTCTGATGTAGTTAGTTTATAAAACTTCTCTTATTTTGCCTTTACAAGTGCTTACCATTAGGTCAGGTAGTTAGGCAAAAGTTAGGTAACTGATAGGTAAAGGAGGTTTCTCAAGAGTACTCACTCTCCTGATCCCTTCCTATTCTGAAGCTTTAGCCAGTGGAAGTAGGTAAACTGAAATGTTTCAGATTGGACCCTTCCTGTATTATTTGTTGCTAAGTAATGCTTAAACACTGCTACCAAGGCAAAATATAATATCACATTTGAATATTCCCACCTTAGTAATTAAAGGAAGAACATTGCCTCTATGCAACTGAAAAACCTATTCATGCCCACCTTCAGTTTCTCTTCTATGGAGACTCTCCGCAGGGTTTGTAGGCTGTCAGAAAGGCAAGTTCAACAAATGCAGAAGTTCAGTTTGGAGATGTTTATTGTGCAGGAATGGGATTGTTGGTTTGAACTACCCAGGATCACGCTTTATTGGCTCTTTGAGGAAGAAGGCGCTGCATTCAAAGCACTGTGCATGCATGAATGAGACTTGTTACTATCCTGTAGTATTTTTATATTTTTAATTTGTTCTTTCCTTTAGATGTTCATTTGTATTTGTCTGGCTGGCACTTAATCTCTTTTTACTACATTGTTTTACCTCTTTTTAAAAGCAAGGTTTCTGCTTGTGTTATTCTAACCCTTTCTTTAATGATGAGCTTGGATTTTTGGCTTTTTTTTTTTTTTTTTTTTTTTTTTTAAAACCCAAAAACCCCTTTTTTTTTTTTTTTTTACCCCTTTTTTTAAAGAGGGGGTTGTTTTTTTGGTTTTTTTTTTTTTTTTTTTTTTTTTTTTTAAAACTCCAGAACATCCGCTTTCTTGGTTTTAAGTCATTCACTTGTTGCCTTTTGCTCGTATAGTAGTGGCATTTTTCTGTGAGCTAAGTTCATTTCAAAATAAAACAATTCTAATGCATGAGAATTGTGTTATTCAGTGAGGGAGACTTCTCAGAGCATGTTTTTTCTTTCTTCTAAAGTTTTTAAGTATTGTGGAATAGAAGTAAAGTTCTACTTGCATATAAAACATGGTTGTTTCAGGAATTATTTGTAAGATTTTTTTTTTTCCCCTATGAAAACTTTCCTTCTGTGAAATTGCAGTTTAGACAATAGTTTAATTTTCCTGTAATGGGAAAGTTTTAAGAGTATAACCCAGGATTTATTTTTCACTACTTGCAGCATATGCAGATTATTTTTCAAAACTATAATATGTTGCCATTAAATCTAATTGCAGAAATCTATCCCTATACTTAGATGTCCCCCAAATTAGGACAGTATACCAGTATTTCACTTACCTATTTTCCTCCCTCTCTAAACTGTTTAATGCCCCATACTGAGTAGAAGTTTGCAAAGCTGTGTCCCCTGATTTCTTTCCAAATAGAATATATTGAATTGGCATTTCACATTCTTTTTAGGTTTTGTAGATAGTAAGATGCACTTGGAGCTTTTCACATTTTAGATGACTAAGGCATGGGGGAAAAATCTAACTGCTGGAGTTGGTTTGCATTCTAGGAAAATACATGCCGGAAGGGAAGCTGCAGCAGCTTGCGCACGTTACGCGATGCTTTTGGAATTCAGTTGCTTATATTTTATTGTTGGAAGTTATTGTCTGTCAGAGCAGGCTGCTGCTGCTTGCTGGCTGCATTAACTTGCTTATAGTTTTGGTGTGAGTAGCCATGTGACTAACCTGTTGGCCTTGCCACTGTGCTTTTAAAATGCTTTTGTAGTTATTAGAGGAATGTTTTTGGAGTTTATAGTTAAGGTTAAACTCTCCCAGACCTGGGATTCTTCTGCTGCTGACAGAGGGAAAAGTGTCAGTATTGGCCCATAACTCAGCAATTTTCTGTGTGTAACCATGACAGACAGGCATGCTCAGTTAACCTCTCGGTAAGTGCATGTTGCAAACTTCTTGTGAGTTGTTAAAGCCTCTTAAAAGAAAGACTGTACAGATTTCAAAGATCTTACTCAACAAGTGACAAGTTACTTGACTCACTATTAAGGGTATATTGAATAAAAATGTCTTTTTCCAAAACAAGCATTAAAATCTGAATTCTATGCCAAAGGCAAAATTTCTAGACTTTCTTATATATGTGGAATTAATTCTATGATTAAATACACAGCCCAATCTATTTGGGAAGTTTGAAAGCTAGTTATTACTAATAAGCAAGAGTTTCAAATACAGTTTCATTTATAGAGTCCTAACTACTACTCTGTGTGTGTATATGTGCACATCCATATATAAGTTTAACCCTTGGAGAGAATAATTTTTCTAATTCAGAGTTACTCTCTTGCTACAAGGCAGCAATAATTTCTGCCACTGGTGAAAATTAGTTTCATGAACACAACCACACTGAAATTAAATTTGAACATTATTAATTGAAGAGGTAGGAATTTTTCAGTATGTATTGAGAAAAGTTTTTCTGCATTATAGCCACTTTCATGTCAAAGAACCTGTGCTGGAAACAAACATCGATCCTTTTTTATTATTTCAGACAGATTTTTTTTTCCCCTTTCATGGCAGCTATTAGAGATGAAAGTTGCAAAAATGGAATTTATGACAGCATAAGGAACATTTGAGGAAGAAAAATTGGAAATTTTTTTAAAGGTGTAAAGCAATTAGCCACAGTGTTCTGAATTTCAGTAATTATTTTTGGACTTTGGATTTTTGGGCTGAGATGTTCAGAGGGCCCTAGTAATTTCTTATTGAAGTCAGTAGATTTCCTTGAGGTTATAAGACAAATCCCTGCCTTGATTTAGTTTATTTAAATGAAAGAGTTGTTACTGTTAGGCTTAGAAAAGGGATCAGAGTCAATTTACTCCCCCTTTAGACATGAAAAGGGGATTTTATCATGACTGAGAATACATTAATTGTTTTTAAAAGGATGAAGCATGCTCATCAAGTGTCTTGCCTACCATTAAATATGGACATGTGCAAAAGTCAAAACAAGGCAAATTATACATAGGAATCAGAAAATCTAGATGTGGGGGATAGTGCTTTATGAGGCAATGCAAAAACATTCATTTGCAATTTAAACAGTGATTTGCACTTTTAACGTGATGCTTTTTAAATTATACAAATAGTTGGGCATTTGAATTAACCAAATTAAACTTGAGAGTTGTTAGTTATACTAACATTTGCCCAACAGAGCTTGTCACATAACTAAAATCATGTTACATGCAAGTGATTTATTTTACATACACTGATAAGTTTTATAATTTACAGATCTGAAGACAAGTGTTTTGTAGTATTTTACTAAAAAAAAAACCACCACACAAATGCTAAAGCTCTTAGTAGTGATAAAATACAGTCTTGAATTGAATTATCAACAGTAATGAGATCTTGTCAGTTTGAGGGCTGTGTGTTGGAGTCATGCCAGTGTGTTTAGCACAGGTACTCTAGCTCGTGCGTATGGTGCAGGAGTATTGCAGTATCCTGTCAACATGTGAAAGTTGAGGCTTTGGGGATGGAGTAGGAAGAGATTCAGTTTCTTAAGCCATTTTCTTTGTCCTTAAAGCAATGGCATTGAGCTACATGAAATAATTTTTTTTTTTACTTAGCTCATCAGAAGTACAAACTCCATTTATTTCTGTTTTTCCCCAAGCACTAAGTTTTTAACAACTGCACAAGAATCAGGGGCTAGATGGCTAAAAATTAGAAATTCTCTGGGCTTTGTCATTTGAGCATATTTGAGACACCTGCTGTTGTTGAGCCATGCTATGAACTGCAAACTGTGCATGTGTGTAAAAAGGTTAAGACCCTGCATAGATGAGTTGGGGGCCATGCTGTTAGCAGACGAGGAGAGCAGTATTATGCAGCAGGTGCACGCCGTCAACTTTGTAGAAGATTCCATCTTCATGGAGTCATCTCTTGGTCCACGTTTACTTGAAGACAGGTAACAGCAGCCAAACTAAGGTGACCTTGCCATTGCCTTTTCCCTTTCTTCCCCATAGCAAACCATTTGACGTCTAGTTTGCAGAGAGTTTGTCAAAACTAGCTGTAGAAGAACTAATGCTTGCAGGAACTAATGAATTTGATCTGTTCCATAACCCAGCAAGATATTCTTAAATAAGATTAGGATTTTTTAGAGACCAGCTGTGTTTTGCTGTTTGTGCACCAAAGAGTCTGTTCCTTCAGCATGTGGTATGACAGTACACTGATTATCTATACGACTTATATTGCTCCTGCAAATATCTAATGAAGAATATCCTAAACTGGTTTTGTGTATTTTGATAGCAAGTAACAGTTCCTGCTTTATTAAACAGCTTGTATGCTATAGCTCTGCAGTTCACACTATATGGACTCCGTGTATGCTTAGGATCTCTGTATGCTCCTTGTGCTTAATACTCCTGCAGCTTTCACTAAGTAACCTGTGATGATTAATACAGGCTAAAATATATAGGCTAGTGAAGTTCTGTTGTAAGTTCTATCTTAAACAAAAGCAAACAAACAAACAAAAAAACCCTTTACTATTGTTTAGGAACTTCTTGTGCTTTGAATTATGGCATTTATATAACTTGTTTTAAACGGTAGCTCCTGCTTTATGGTAAGCTGTCATACTTGAGACTACTTTTGAGGATGGCTAGCTGTGTTTAACTGAGCATGCTCACAGACTTCTTGCAATATTTGGGAGAGTTGGGTCATTGGCTGTCTCTACTGTCATGCAAGATGTGGCTTTTTATGTCATACAGTCACTTCATACTGTTGTTACATCTTGTCTTTTTCTGTTGATGCCATTGTCACTGCTTGTTTCACTAGCACTTTCTCTTAGCTTTCGGCTTGGTATTGGATGACTGTTTCTATTGCTGTTCTTGTGACTGTACTGGGAAGAAAGGGATTTACAAATGGTCCTTCTTTTGATTCTGGCTTTTGGAAAAATATTACTTGCTACTTGTCAGTAAACTTTTTTTTGGGGAAGAAGTCTAAGTAGATACTTAGCAGGACTGGAAAGTTTTTCATGAAAAAGCAGAAATATGCAAACTCAACATTAAAAAAAAAAAAGGATTTTGCTGGGCACAGTTGTTCTCACTATGGGTCATTAATTATTTGCTAGCTGTTTTTGTTTTCCTTTTCTGAATGCTTGCTGGTACTCTCAAAGAAGACACACTGCCCTCCCCACATTTACAACTAACGATCTGCTCCTGCATTTCTCTTCATCTGTGTGAGCTCTCCGACTTTAGTGAGATCTACTAATGTGATCAGGGCTGCAGATCAAACCCTAAGCTTTTAAGAAAATGACTGTATAAGTACTCGTAAGGCTGAATTGTAAGCTGCTTGCCTGTGACAAGTGTAGTGATGAATTTCCAAAAGCAGAGTAGTTTAGCACAAGTTGTCTGATATTCCTGTCATGGAATTAACCTGGTTTTCTATGTGTTTTAAATTTTAGGCATGTGACACAAGCGGACCTCAAGAGCTCTACCTTTTGGCTCCGAGCAAGTTTTGGTGCTACTGTCTTTGCAGTTTTGGGTTTTGCTATGTACAAAGCATTATTAAAGCAACGGTGATTTGAGAAGAAGCACATCTGGCCCTACCAAAAAAAAAACAAAACAAAAAACAAAACCTTTTATGTACATTCTGAATGCTTTAAATTCTGCTAGAAATATTTATATATGCAGAGTTACTTTATTAATATTTGTAATTCATGCATAAGATTATTTTAAATTATAGCTCTAACTACAGTATTGCATAATGCGTGGAAAAAAGAATTGCATCTTAACAGCCAGCTAAAATGGCTTAACTTGTGAGGCCAAAAGGGAATTTGTTGTAAATAACCTGTACATATTAAAGCAGTAAGACATTGCTTCCGAAAAAGCTATTCAAAATATTGTTCTTAGATGTTTCACCATGGTGACATACTAGTGTATAGTTGGAATTCATTTTCGGTTCAGTAGGTTCAACTCAAGGATCATACTTCCTCAAGGATTGCGTATTTATTTCACATTCATCTGAAATGACTTAATCTTTTTGGACTGTAAGCTATACCAGGCAGAATTTGTGATTTTCATTCTTATCTGTTCTTTTTAACTGATGAACAAATTTCCCCACTTCTTGTGTTTCAAGAAAAAGACACTGTTGCTGGCCTGGCCTGTGATTTTTCTATGTACATGACCAGTGACATATTTAGCAGTCTGATACTTCTTTTAAAAGGAAAAACGTAAATTTCAAAAACTGCCAGATCAACTTCATATGCTGTGTGTAATTCGTGTTTTTCATTTTCCACTATGTTGTGTTTTATAACCCTTATGAATCAGATGAGCAAATTTGTATATTATAAATGTTTATAATTCAAAAAGTGTTGCTGTTTAATTTCTCACATCTGTCAATCATACCTGTTGAAAGCTGTGTATAAGATAAAACTGAAATAGTACACAGTGCCTATTCTACTGTAGTATATTAGTTGCATGGATCACAGTGCATTCTGTAACTGGCTAGAATTACCTATAGACACAGCTTTTTTAATGATCAAGTAAATCAAACATTAATTCCTCATGACAAACCTATTTTTCCATTGCTGGCCTTTTCAAGTATTTCAATAAAATAACTGTGTACTGTGTTTGTGTTTATCTTTTTTTTTTTTTCTTTTCTTTCCCCTTCCCCTCCCCTGAAAGGTGGTCCTTATAAAACCTGGTCATTTTTCTGAGAGAATACTGTCAGTGCCTTCAGTTGTTGGAACTTTAACGTCTTGGCTCTGTAGTTTCTTTGATTTGTCTTATGATTGTGCTGCCTCCATTAGAGGTTTATTTCTGATTTTTATCAGAAGACAAAAGTGACTTCTGTGATATTTTAAAGCAGAAACACAAATGCATAGTTAACCATGAACTTTGTGTTTACTGTCAAGGATAAAATAGGCAGGAGAAGAAAGTAAGTAGTTCCGTGGGTTGTTTGGGAAAGCTCATGCCTGTCTGTTATGCTGACCTCCCAGAAAAGTGAGGTGAGTGAGAAAGTGTTATCAACAGAAGATTAGAAAGCTCCCAATCTGGAAACTATTACACTCTACCTAGAAAATTATTAATTTTCTAGAAGTCTTTGAAGAAAAGAGGGCTAATGCTTTTCTGGGGAGGTGTGTATGCTGTTATATAAAATCTTATCATTTTCCCTGGGAAAGTGATCATTAGAGACCTTCTCTGTATCCTCCTCCCACTGGGTAACTGGGGACCACAGGAATTAGATTCCCCTGCATTAACCTTCTCTTAAGACTGAACAAGACCTGTTCTCTCAGCCTCTCTCTTTATTTCCTCTTCCAGCTCCCTGCCCATCTCGGTGGCCTTCTGCTAGTGGACTCACTCCAGTATGTTGATGTCTGCCTGGTACTGGAAAGCCTGAAACTGGGCATACAATGCAGTACGGTCTCACAAGTGCCAGTTATTGAATGTGACTGTGGATAGTGCTTGTGGAAGGTTTGTCTGGTACTTGAACACTACTTCCTACTCGTTTTCTGTGAGATGTCTTCTGACATCCGCGACGCAGAAAATAAATGCGTTAGTGTTACGCAGAGCTTTGGAACTGATGACCTGAGCAAGCAAATGTTTCCCTGTCCCTGAATTTTTACAGTACTTCTCGTGAGCTTGTGGTGCCATGCAGCAATGGCACATGAAAGCTGAAAAGTGCACGATGTGTTCTCAAGAGCTGACAGATCACTTGTTTTGTGGTTGTTTTTTTCTTTTGTTTAGGTACAACATACCTGCCTTGGTAGAGGGAGACCAGATTGTGATAGAAAATAAGAAGGAAGGCCACTGCGATAGTGCAACTTAATCTGCAGGGATCTTTGACTGCTGATCTGGGCCTGTTGATCCTTTAACATCAAAGCAAGCAGGGAAGACTTGATGTTTACATGCCCTGAGACTTTTTTGTTTGTTTTCCTAATGGGAAATTCTAACTTAGTAGATCTTAGTGCTGCTGATTATTCCCATCACCACCACCCTCAATGCACTTCTGAAAGGATATTTCAGGACTTCGTTTCTCACAAATTTATCTCAGACTGCCAATGTGCTGATGCTAAAGTGCCTTTTGAGAGACTGATGGCCCTGCAGCACTGCCTGGCACGTTCCCGAGGTCGGAGTGCTGGGGAGGGTCTGCTATTTTAAACCAGTCAGTGGCTGTTGGTTCCAAAACACTTCTAAATACCTGATAGCATGCTCTGGATTTACAGTTAGGTTTCCCACTCACCTCCCATAAGTACCCTCTCGTAGAAATCTCTTAAGTATTATATTAACGACACAGCTCATCGTCTATGCCAAGTACTAGAGCATTGTAACTGCCATTCCAATGAGCGGCTCGTGTTTCATTATGCAGTTTGTGAACCTGTCTGTATTGAACCTGTTGCCATGTTTTTCCATGCGGGAGATCAGTGTGGATGCTACTGCTCTGCCTGGAGCAGCCGGCCTCCCCCTTGGGATGGGTCACGCGCGCAGCACTGCCCGAGCGGCGTGGCTCCGTGTGCTGGGTGCGCAGAAGGAAACGCTGGCTGTGGTGTGCTGGGCTGGACCTTTCACGCATCAGCCAACCATCGGGTGCTTTTTGGGCTCAGCTAATAGAATCATAAAATACCAGGTTGGAAGGGACCTCAAGGATCATCTGGTCCAACCTTTCCAGGCAAGAGCACAGTCTAGACGAGATGGCCCAGCACCCTGTCCAGCTGAGTTTTAAACGTGGCCAGAGTCAACCACTTCCCTGGGGAGATTATTCCAATGGTTGACCGTTCTCATTGTGAACAATTTTCCTCTCATGTCCAGTCGGAATCTCCCTGGGAGTAACTTGTACCCGTTACCCCTTGTCCTCACCATGGGTCTCCTTGTAAAAAGGGCGTCTCCATCTGCTTTGTAGCTCCCCTTTAAGCACTGGTACGTGGTGGTGAGATCACCTCTAAGCCTCCTTTTCTTAAGGCTGAACAAGCCCAGCTCTCTCAGCCTGTCCTCACACGGCAGGCTGCCCAGACCCTTGATCATCTTGGTGGCCCTTCTCTGGACCCTCTCCAGCCTGTCCACGTCTTTTTTGTATAGTGAGGACCAGAACTGCACATAGTATTGCAGGTGTGGCCTGACAAGCGCCGAGTAGAGTGGGATAATGACTTATTTATCTCTGCTGGTGGTGCCCTGTTGGTTTTCTGTAAAGGGCTGCCGTTAGGGTTGTAAGATTGCTTCCGCTTTAGGAAAACGCGTTCCTTGTTTGGTGAATATTTTCATGTTAAACGTGGTTTACACTCGTCACCCAGCTAGCGTTAGCAGAGAGAACAGCACCCGGCCCGGCGGCCCTGCGGCTCCTGGCTCTGCCCTGAGGGAG